AGTTTTCCATGGTATATAATGTTGGGACCATGGCCTATTTATGCTTCCTGGCCGAGCCATTTATCCAATTATGTACGCTCAGAGTACAGCCAAGTGAGCAGTTTCATCTAAATATACAGTATGCTGCATCTCCCATGTATTTCCGACATCTTTTCTTATGAACAATAGCTTTTATATCAACCAAAAACATTTGCCCGCAGGTGGTCCTCCTGTTCAATGCCAATATTTGCACAGGGAGCACTATGTCAATTGTTCCATCTGCACAAGTTTTCAGCTTGCCAGATGGAACGAGCCCTTCTCTTCCCCCTGTTCTGGGAAGTCTCCCTACCCCCTGAGGAAATTGGGGTCGGGTACCAAATGGGAAGTCCCATTGCCCCAGCCTAAGTCTTTGTGTGGGCTTCCACTAGCAGGACTATCTAGCTGATTCCTGCCCTCAGCATCACTCCCAAGAATGGAGAGAATAGGTTGACCTTGGAATATGAAGTATGGAGGAGAGTACTACGAAGTTACCTACAAAATCTGTCATCTCTTCTGCCTGTTGGAAATTGCAATGATTTATGCAGAGATTTTATTGTGGTGAGTTTTGTTCATACAACTTCAGTGGTTGCATCTCTTGGATTTCCAACTGCACTGTGTGGGAGATGAGGCAAAACAACAAATAAGTCTTCCTAGTTCTTCCTAGTTCACTGGCATTACTAGCAGCTTTGTTTTTCCCTTTAACCCCTTTGCTGTTATTTGCACATTTGCAGCAACTCAGAGGCATGTTGTTAGATTTTTTTCAACTTGAAATTAGTGCCTGTTTAAAAATGTGTACCCTTTTTGCTCAAACGGTCTCCAAACAGCTTACAACAGATTATAAACAAATACAATGCAAACAGTGTTTGAAACTCCCATTGTTCTAGACACATTTTGTGACAGGGAATTTCATTGGCACGAGCCGCTTCTGAGCAGTTTCTGTCTGTGCCTGCACATGGAAGCTGCTATATAGGCAGACCAGTTGTCTGCACTAAATGTGTCTGACAGCAGCTGAGAATGTCATTGCTGTTTCCATCTTTTGCATAATGTATGTACAGAGTTTTCTGTCAGCGTCGCGTGGATAGGTTCTCTATTCATTTATTTTTGTTGGCTCTGTGGGAAATTGGGGAGCCCAGAACATGGTTGGTTGCATTTGGTTGGTTGCAGCAAATTTTGTTTGTGTGTAAGGGGGTGGGAGTTGTTGAGTCAAATTAGCCATATCAATCTGTATACTACTGGGGGAGTTATGCTGTTGTATTGCTGGGCTTTGTTGTATATGTAATAAAAGGAAGCCACACCAGGGTGAAGGCATCCTCTTGTCCCTGTGCTAATTTCAATTGATTGGTTAGCTTTTCTAGTATGGCTGTTTCCCATATAGTTTGGTACCAGTGGTCTATGTTCATTCTTGACAGGTCCCTCCAATGTCTAGTTAAGACACTTCTAGCAGCTGAGAGTAGGTGGCTCATGAGTTCTTTATAGCGTGCGTGTGCACTGTGTCTTGAAACATTGGTTTAGGCCAGAGTTTAGACCATTGGGTTTGTGGGGTCTTGGAGTAGTATTTTGTATATTGTTGATGCTAACCCCTTACTATGTCCCTCTCTTGTGTCAGAAGTTTTTCTAAGGTGGTTGGGGGTCTGGTGGCTGCTGCTTTTATTGCTGGATTATTTAAGAAGGCATATAGTTGGTGATGTATCAGCCAGAATGCCCCCTAATTTGTCTTGTATTTCTTGTGTCGGCAAGGGTTTGTCATTTTTGTAGAAGTCTGTTAGGCGGTGTAAGCCTTTGGCTTGCCATGTTTTTATTTGGAAGCTCAGGCTTCATGATGGACTAATGGGTGGTGGGCTGAGGGGATTAGTGGGAATGGGTTTGGGGACATTTTCTCTACTTTTTCAGTCCATGGACTGTGTGAACCTGTTTAATGTTGTGGGAATTTTCCTTAGTTTGTTTTGGAGGAATGGGTGCACTTAGCTGGCGATGTAGTATAGTTCTATACTGGGAATTCCCCATCCTCCTTCTAAGGGAGCTTATTCATAGCTTTTTGTGTGAGAAGATAAATGTTTTTTCTGCCACCTAGAGTTGGGTTGGGAGAATCCAGATTGGGTTTGTTATAAGCAGGTCACTTTTGGGGAAATTATCATTTTGATCATGGCTATCTTGTCTGAGAGGTTGGTTTTGTTCCATTTATTTAAGTCTTTGTTGATTTCCTGCCCTAGGGAGTGGTATAATTTGATGAGGTTTCTGGTTATTTGTACCCCAAGATATTGAATTAGGAGCAGCACAGTTTATCTTTCTGGTGTCGGTGAATTCTTTTGGGATATGCGGGTGAAGGGTGTTGAAACACATAGCCTCAGATTTTGCGAAATTCACTTGTAGGCCCAACAACGTTGTGAAGATGTTGAGTTCTTTGGTTAAGGTGGTTGCTGTGTTTATGGGGTCTGGTGTTGTGACCATCAGGTTTTGTCTTTTATTCCCACTCCCTTGATGTCAGGGACTTCTCAGAGTCAGAATGCTAAGGGTTCAAGGGTTAGGATGAATAGAAAGGGAGATAGTGGACATTCCTGTTTTGTGGCTCTTTGGATTGCTATGGTATTGGAGTCCATTCTGTTAATCCTGCTTTTTGCTGAAGCTTTAGAGTAAAATTGTTTAGGGATTTGTAAGTTGGGGCCAAATTTCATATTGGTTAATACCTCCAATAGGGACGCGGGTGGCGCTGTGGGTTAAACCACAGAGCCTAGGACTTGCCGATCAGAAGGTCGGTGGTTTGAATCCCTGCGACGGGGTGAGCTCCCATTGTTTGGTCCCTGCTCCTGCCAACCTAGCAGTTCGAAAGCACGTCAAAGTGCAAGTAGATAAATAGGTACCGCTCTGGCGGGAAGGTAAACGGCATTTCCGTGTGCTGCTCTGGTTCGCCAGAAGCGGCTTAGTCATGCTGGCCACATGACCTGGAAGCTGTCTTCGGACAAACGCCGGCTCCCTCGGCCTATAGAGCGAGATGAGCGCGCAACCCCAGAGTCGGTCACGACTGGACCTAATGGTCAGGGGTCCCTTTAATACCTCCAATAGGTATTTCCATTCCAAACAAGCAAAGGCTTTAAGGAAGCCCAGGGATGATCTTCAGTGGGGATTTGGTTGTTTTGCTGTGTTCAAGCAAATCCACTAATTTCCTAATTTGCAACTAGGGACAAAGCCAGGGTGGTCTGGGGTTATTAAGTTTGTGTAGGAAGCATTTTAAATGGTAGGCCAGGATTGATGTGAATATTTTATAGTCTTGATTTATCACTGAGATTGGGTAGTATGATTCTACTTTGGACTATCTTTGAATGGCTTTGGGATAGAGACTGTTTCGGAGGACATGCAAGTTTTAGGGATGGGGACCCCTTTATGATGTTGTTAAACATGTGGATCATGTAGAGCACCAGGATTTCTTTGAATTTCTTGTAGATTTCTGTTGTAAAGCCATCTGTGCCTGGGGCTTTGTGTGGCTTTAGGTTTTTGAGGACCGTCTCCATTTCCTCTGTGGTATTAGGACTGTCCAGGAATTCTTGTTTCTCTGCAGTTAGGGTTAAGATGGTCAGTCCTAACCCTAACTGCAGTTCATTTCGTGTTTGGTCAGGTTGTGGGAGGTATATAGGTTAGAGTAGAATCTAGCCAAACCTGATATTATTTCTTGGAGGAGAATGTTACATTGCATCACCAAAAAGGATGGTAATGTACAGTGGTACCTCGGGTTAAGAACTTAATTCGTTCTGGAGGTCTGTTCTTAACCTGAAGCACCACTTTCGCTAATGGGGCCTCCTGCTGCTGCTGCATGATTTCTGTTCTCATCCTGAAGCAAAGTTCTTAACCCGAGGTAATATTTTTGGGTTAGCGGAGTCTGTAACCTGACGTGTATGTAACCCGAGGTACCACTGTATTCATGCTTGGAGTGATTTGCCCCCCTGCACCTGTTTGCTAATAGTCTGGAGTTTCCCCCTCCATATTTGTAAAAGCATTGTTTCAAGCATAGGATGTTGATCATTGTTTTATTAATTTCTAATGAGTCAATCTCCCTTCTTTTCTGTTCTATGAGTTTAATGAGTTGTTGTTTTTTTGCTCCTGTTTGTTTGTAGCATGTTGAGAGGGCCGTGATACCCTGTTCTAGTTTGCTAATTATTCAGGAGGTTTGTTTGTTTTTTAAGGGATGCCTTTTCTTTTATACAGGCTCCTCTGGCAACTGCTTTCATTGCATCGGGGGGGGGGGGTTGTTATGCTGGCTACACCATTGTTTTGGAGGGTCTTTGAGACTCTCTCTTGTTACTTGATTTGTGAGCAGTATGGGGCTAAAGAACCATGATGGGGTGGTTTGTATTTCCTCCCCTATTTTGAGGGTAGCTTCTACTGTGACATGGTCTGTGATTTTAACGTTAGTGATGTTTGTTGCTTCAACCAGGGGGATCAGACCTGGTGTGAGCAAAATGCTATCCAGTCTGGACATGGTGCCATGGTGCCCAGATTGGAATGTGTGGCTGGTGTTGCCTGGGTTCTTTGATCTCATATATCATATAGGTCTTCTATTTTTAAAAGCATTTTTAGTAGTCTATAGGGTTTTTTGATGGGGAGGTTTCTCAGAGGAATGTTGCCCATGGGGATGTGTAGTGGATGTCTCTCAGGGAGATGCCTCTCCCATCTAAGTTGAGGTTGCTTCCTAGAATTGCTTCCCTTCAGATAAGGAATTGAAGTCTATCTGTTTTGAGTTTGGAGCATATACAGAACCAATTGTCAGTTTGTTTTTTCCATCTAGTGATCCCTTGGGAAAAATGAATCTGCCTTTTTTTGCCTTTTAATATTGTGGCTTTAAAATGTAGGTCTCTGCCCCCACACTTTTCCTAAACTGGGAGAACGATATTTTAAACCAAGCATTTAGCTCCTCACAACTGGCCCTTTTATTGCTTTTCAGAGAAACCTTGCCATGCACAATCCTGAAACATTGAAGTATGACACAGAGAGACAAGAAAATCAAGTCTTTATTTCAATTAACATTTCTTGGCATTAGGCAGATATTAAATAACACTGGAATGCACAAGACTATTAACAGAGATGGACCGCAACAAGGTAGGACGGCCATAGCAAGTGTGTGTCAAATCACCTCACTTCACTCAAATGCCATTTTAAAAACGCTGCAGCCACAGTAAAGTGGCACTTCACTGATAAACACAGAAGGAAAAATATTCCTTTTAAATTTCATTAACACAGTAAAACGCTTGAACAATCAACAGTAAAAATGAACAAAGTGTTGCAATTGGTAATTAAACAGTGTTATTATCCACAAACAGCTAGTCATGCAGTGCCTTAATGGCAACCTTGCTATGCATAAATATCACTTAAAAAAAAAAGATTTGAATAATCACAGACAACTAGAAGAAATGAAGCATGGATTCTACTTGATATATTAAATATGACCTAAATAGACCTAAATATTAAAAAATTTACTTCACCATATATATATATAGTATGTATATATATATATATATGAATGGAAAGACCATTAAGTAAGTGCAAGCAATTTTCCTCATAGCAGGAAACTGGTATCATGCTCTTTAAGAAAATTCTACTCAATTTATTCCACATTTTATATCCCTTTTCTGGGAAGCAAATTAAAATGCCTGCCATTTGTGTTGGTCAAAAGGAACACATGGCATCTCTTTCTTAGGCGCTAACTAGAAAGTCATCTGTTCATATTAACCAAGTGATGTGCAACAAACCCCTCTTTAACCTGCCATTGTAAACATACCCTTCAATTATGTGTAGAGTGACTCATAAGGGGAAGAAACAAAGGACGGGATAGTGGAAGGAGGAATTTGCATCAATGTTGGTGAGAGGAGTGAGGCTCTTTTTCACTTGGATACACAGACAATCTGGCAGTGGAATCTCATCCACTAGCCACTGAGGAATGGTTGAGAAGGCATCCATTTACGAGTAAAGCTGGAACAAGCCAGTAATTTTCTTTGCAAACTGTCCAGAGTTTAATTAGAACTGACTTGCACTGCTTGGATCACATTGTAACAACCGCACGATAGAGGGATCACTCTTGGCACCTTTAATAAACTCTTCGAGAGATAGTTTACCTTGAAGGGAAACAAGAGAAAGATACAAAATCAAATCATTTTCTCTGACAGTAAATGGCAGCCAAAAGTAACTTACAAAAATAAACTTAGCCTCTCAATTATTGGCTTTTAATATATCTAATTAGTTGCCAATGAGTTTAAAGATGAAATATATAATCTTGAAAAGATGACCCAGGCAATTATTACAACAGATCTAACATTTCCCAGTTCAGGGTGCATTTAGATAGGATTGTGAACTTTGCATTCCAAATGATGGTACTAACAATATTTCTAGTTCCTCCTAATAATCCTTATTCCAAAGATCCTAGCAGACTGTTCTTGGGATGGGCTGTGTAAGGAAATCTTGATATGATGTAGACAATAGAACAATAATCAAGAGTGTGAACCAGATAAGACTTTCACATCCGTTTGCGTATCCCAAACATTCAAGACAAATGCAGATATTTTTAATGGAACTGACATGAAAAGCATATTTAATCTCAGTAGTGATTCACTGCTTCCTTGAACTGACACCTTGTAGAGGTGTGAACTTGAATAAATCCAGACAGCAGCTGAATCTCACTCAGACATATATGTTTTTGAAACAAATGTAGAACACCTCCCTTGCTCTTGGACTATGGCATACAAACCAGTGATGTTGATGATGATGATGATGATGATGATGATTATTATTATTATAAATTTTATTTATATTCCGCCCTCCCCAGCCGAAGCCAGGCTCAGGGCGGCTAACAACAATAAGACAGTACAACAGTACAACACAACACAACACAACACTCTAAAATCATTCATTATAAATTTAATTCAAATAAAACCAATGGCAACCATTGGGCCAGAGCTCCGCGAAGATTGCCAAAGGAGGGAGTCAGGCTGTGCCCTGGCCAAAGGCCTGGTGGAACAGCTCTGTCTTGCAGGCCCTGCGGAAAGATGTCAAGTCACGCAGGGCCCTAGTGTCTTGTGACAGAGCGTTCCACCAGATCGGAGCCACAGCCGAAAAAGCCCTGGCTCTAGTTGAGGCCAGCCTAACCTCTCTTTGGCCTGGGACCTTCAAGATGTTTTTATTTGAAGACCGTAAGTTCCTCTGTGGGGCATACCAGGAGAGGCGGTCCTGTAGGTACGAGGGTCCTAGGCCGGATAGGGCTTTAAAGGTTAAAACCAGCACCTTAAACCTGATCCTGTACTCCACCGGGAGCCAGTGCAGCTGGTATAGCACCGGGTGAATGTGATCTCACAGCGAGGACCCCGTAAGGAGTCTCGCCACGGCATTCTGCACCCGCTGGAGTTTCTGGGTCAGTCTCAAGGGCAGCCCCACGTAGAATGAGTTACAATAATCCAGTCTGGAGGTGACCGTCATGTGGATCACAGTGGCTAGGTCAGGGCGAGAGAGGTAAGGAGCCAACTGTTTAGCTTGGCGGAGATGAAAAAATGCCGCCTTTGTTATAGCTGCAATCTGCACCTCCATGGAAAGGGAGGTGTCGAAGATTACACCCAAACTCTTAACGGACGGTGCTAGCACTAATTGCGCCCCCACAAGAGATGGGATCTATTTGAAACTAAGTAGACATAAAAACCAACTACTCTAGTTTAGCTTATTTGCATGCTTGGCTATCTGCATCAATGGAAATATTTGTGCTTCAGTAAATGGCTTACATTCATTCCAAATTAGAGCAGAACTACACATTATGAGAAACACAGGGCAACCTCTGAAAGTGACACCCTTGCTGCAGGCCCAGATTATTTGAATTCACTATGACTCATTGCCATACTTTGGATTGTCCTGAATACCACCATTTGGTAGCCAAGCCCCAAACCAAAAGTCCTGTTGGGTGCATTTTGGCTTGCCTGCTGATGAAATTGTGTGGTGATTGATAATATCGTCATTTATCTGTTTTAGACCCCTAAGCAGTAGCAGTTGCCAGGACATTAGCTTGTTCGCCTCTGCATAGTTCAATCCTTATTTCAGACATTATGGTAGATTACAAAGTTCAGCTGGTGATGTAGTGCGATGTGGAAAACCAGGTATCACCTAACCATCACATGCATTGTGGTTCACGATATATTGCCAGGTCAAATATTATGAAGCTTATCACGATGTGAATTTCAAACTGGTTTTGGACGATATATCGCCCAGCCCTAGAAGTGATACAGTTATTTCTAGGATGATTTGGTTGAACACAGATATAACCTCCACAGACATCACATACTGTGGAGGCCATCTGTGCTTGATCAAATCATCCTAGAAATCCCAGGGATACAGCAGGACAGAAGTTACACAATGGAAACATGCATCTATTTCTCTCTCTTTTATAGCCTTTCAGAAAATCACAATTAAAAGTAGCAGGATCTCTGACTTAAAATTGTTATACTTGCCCTTCAATTAATTTTTCCCACAACTTGATGCTACTAGAGAGAGAAAGATGCACTGTGCTTACTCCAAAATGCACTGGCGCCAGAAGTGTTAATGAAATGCTTGTAAAACCTTGCAGAAGCTCTCCAAGCATTCAAAGAGTACAAATCCAACAACTGTTACCCCACCTCTCCTAGGGTAAATGTTCTTCTAAGAGTACCAGCCAGCAGAGGGCTTCAGTGAAAACTGGGGAGTCAGCAAATGAAAGGTATAGCATAACTGCCAGCCAAGAAATCATAGAGCCTGTAATTCATCCCATGATTTCCTAGCAGGGAAAAGAAAAGACATTCTAGGCATAATTACTACTCTCCTGATTTTGGTGAAGTTATCCAATAACTGCTACCGTGTTCTCTCCTTCCAATTGAAGTTGGGGTTTTTGTTGTTGTTGGGGAACAGGGTAGGAGCTGGGAGGACTGGGATGAAGCAGAAAAGTTGGGGAGGCTGCTTGAGATAGGTTGTATCTTGTTTTAATTCAGCTCACAGTGATTTGAGCAGGGGTGGTCTCATAGTTGAGCGCCTCAGTTTAATATTCTCACCCCTTCTTGAAATATGACTGTTTCTTAACAATGTCTACGTACTGCATAAGGTAGGGTTCTTCATTTTCAAAGCTGTTTGAACATAGGTAGAATTTATTTTTAAAATTCACTTTGAATCATTGATGTACATTTGCATTTGGTGCCTCTGGGGACATTTTTTAATTTATTTTTTTAAAACCCTACTAAGTAAAAAAAACAAATTTTAAGGCAATTTTTATCCCAGTTTTGATTATTCCTATTATGAGAATAACTTCCATCACATTTATTTTGCCAGAGGGGAGGTTATTAATGTTGGAAGTCATGTAATACCTATCATGAAAGGGGCTTTGTTCATGCCATTGTTATCAACTGAGATGTTAAATCTTTGCAAGGCTAGGACACTTCTACCCTTGTGGGATTTTACCCCTCCCCCCCCATTAAATATACTCACAGTTAGGTTTATGTTCTTCCTACATTATAAATATTACTTCTTATTTTGATAACTACTATATTTTTATGCATTCTCTTATGCCATTAGAGAGGTAACATTTCATGGAATGAAAATCTTAGCTATTCTTAAGTCCTGCTGCAACAGTTATAATTCAGCGATTGCTGCATTAGCCACATGCTCATGTTATGGGCTACACTGGTGATTTATACCCAAATAAGTCTTTCTTTATGGTTACAATCTCCCTGAAGGCACCACCAGTATTTGAGAATGGCTCCACAGTTTGGGATATGAGTCATGGGATGGAGAAACCCCATTTGGGGATATATTTTGAGATCCCACTGTCTGTAATTAAATACTGATTCCAAATTTCCCCTGAGGTTAGGCTGGTCTCAAACTGCGGTCTCAGAGCAGTCACACCCACTGTCCTATCAAATTTCAGTTCACTTCTTTATAGATGGGTAAGAGTCCAACTAAGTGGCAACTGTCAAATAACATCTTGGTCCTTCCCCCTTTTCTTCAGGTCATTAACAAAACACCTGGAAGAAGACTGTCCCACTTCTTAATCAGAATTGGAGTCCTCCACCACAGCAGTTTGTAAAAGCAAAAAAAAAGAGAGACACTTGGTGATGCAGTTGGGCTCTCCTGGGTAATGTATCGTTTGACTCAAAGTTATAACTGAATTGTTACCCTTTTCATATGATGCAGCACACTGACAGTTTTAACTGTGCTGCACTGGGTAAAATGGATTTGACACAATATTTTAACCTGTACAAGTGCTGTGTTATGCAAAAGAGTAGCTAACTAAATATATGTGCTAAAATGCTCAAAATACTGCAGTGAGAATAAACTGTAAAACGAGGTTAAAAGTACTAAAGGTAAAGGGACCCCTGACCATTAGGTCCAGTCATGGACGACTCTGGGGTTGTGGCGCTCATCTCACTTTACTGGCCGAGGGAGCCAGTGTACAGCTTCCGGGTCAAGTGGCCAGTATGACTAAGCCGCTTCTGGCGAACCAGAGCAGCGCACGGAAACGCTGTTTACCTTCCCACCGGAGCGGTACCTATTTATCTACTTGCACTTTGACGTGCTTTCGAACTGCTAGGTTGGCACTTATGCCCTAAATTTATTTCAGTTGCAAAGCATTGCTTGGCAGTGACTGTGGTCCTGGAGGAGAAAAGTTAGGGCATGGAGAAAGGGTTAAAAATGCATGCCCAGGCGTCACTCCTCACAAATGCTGCTTTCAGCAGACTACATTTTCTGCAGCCAAAGGGCTAGAACATGGTTTGGTTGTAAAAAATGGAAATGTAAGATTTTCAGGGTTTTTTGTGTGTTTTTTAAAATGTACCGTATTTTTCGCCCTATAGGACGCACTTTTTCCCCTCCAAAAATGAAGGGGAAATGTGTGTGCGTCCTATGGGGCGAATGCAGGCTTTCCCGGGCTTCCTGCAGCTCTGCGCCACCCTCCGGATCCCGGCGCGAAGCCGCGCGGGGCTCCGGAGGGTGGCGCAGAGCTGCCTGCGCTCCAGGGCTTCCTGCAGCTCTGCGCCACCCTCCGGATCCCGGCGCGAAGCTGCGTGGGGCTCCGCAAGGTAGCGCAGAGCTGCCTGCGCTCCCGGGCTTCCTGCAGCTCTGCGCCACCCTCCGGATCCTGGCGCGAAGCTGCGCGGGGCGGTGCAGAGCTGCCTGCGCTCCCGGGCTTCCTGCAGCTCTGCGCCACCCTCCGGATGCCGGTGCAAAGCTGTGCGGGGCTCCGGAGGGTAGCGCAGAGCTGCCTGCATTCCGAAGCCTGGTGCGCGCTGAAGAGTGCGCCCGGGCTTCACGCACCTCTCCGCAAGCCTGGGGAGACCAGCGCCGCTCCCTAGGCTTGCGGATAGCAGGCTGTTCTGGGGGCTGGGGTCGGGGGAAGCTCGGGCTTCCCCCGCGCCTGCCCTGTGCCTGGGGGGGGGGGATAATTTTTTTCTTTATTCCCCCCCCCCAAAAAATTAGGTGCGTCCTATGGGGCGAAAAATACGGTATTTGTCACAGATTGTGGCCATGTAGATCTCTAGACCCTAGAGATTAAGGAGTGATGAGCACATGCATACACACACCAGTGTTCCAATTGTGTTTGTTATAGTAACTTGCTGCAAAAAAACATACCATCATTGTTTGTGTCCATCTGTCTGAATATTTTGTCTGTTCGTTTCTCTGGAGTTGATTCATCCTCTGGCATTTTCATTACCGAAGACACCATTTTGTAGATTGCCTACAGGAACAGCAAAATACAGGAAGTCAGTTTTGCATCCTTGAAGGAAGTAGTGGAAGCTTATTTTGCAAGTTATGGGAAATAAGTGATAAACAAAAAGAAGAACATGTTGGTCGTTGTTTATGCTGTTGCAAAAAAAATCAGGACACTCACTATGATATGTACATAATGTATTCTCCAGATACTGCATTTGCTTGTTTATATGCCAACTTACATTTTTAGGCATAACAAATACACAGCCCTTATGTTTTCCTAGAAAATGCCCATCATTTTGATAGATTGTGTGTGTGTTTTGTTTACTCATTGGGAGGAATGATGCGTGAATGCAGAGGGCTGCACATTTGGAACTGGTTCTAAGATTTGGGTCTGTAAAATATATAATAAGTACCTAAATATTTTCTGTTTGGTAGTCTGGTACAAGATGACAAGAATTTAATCTGGAATGTGCTTCAGGCATGTGGCACACTGATCAGGATTATGCACACCTTTAAGTGTTAAAATATGTAGTATGTATGTTGTTAACAAAAGATACCATATATACCCTATTTTTTGACCTATAGGACGCACTTTTCCCCTCCAAAAATGAAGGGGAAATGTGTGTGCGTCTTATGGGGCGAATGCAGGCTTTCACTGAAGCCAGCCCCGCAAGCTCCAGGGACAGCTGGGAGACGCAGCGCGTCTTCCTGCTGTCCCTGGACCTGATCTGAAGGCGGGCGGAGGGGAGAAGAGTGCTTCTCCCCGCTGCCTGCCCCGCAAGCTGCGGGGACAGCTGGGAGACGCAGCGTGTCTTCCTGCTGTCCCCGGACCTGATCTGAAGGCGGGCGGCGGGGAGAAGAGCGCTTCTCCCCGCTGCCTGCCCCGCAAGCTCCGGGGACAGCAGGGAGACGCAGCGCGTCTTCCCGCTGTCCCCGGACCTGATCTGAAGGCGGGCGGCGGGGAGAAGAGTGCTTCTCCCCGCTGCCTGCCCCGCAAGCTCCGGGGACAGCAGGGAGACGCAGCGCGTCTTCCCGCTGTCCCCGGACCTGATCTGAAGGCGGGCGGCGGGGAGAAGAGCGCTTCTCCCCGCTGCCAGCCCCGCAAGCTCCAGGGACGGCTGGGAGACGCAGCGCGTCTTCCCGCTGTCCCCGGACCTGATCTGAAGGCGGGCGGCGGGGAGAAGAGCGCTTCTCCCCGCTGCCAGCCCCGCAAGCTCCAGGGACGGCTGGGAGACGCAGCGCGTCTTCCTGCTGTCCCCGGACCTGATCTGAAGGCGGGCGGCGGGGAGAAGAGCGCTTCTCCCCGCTGCCAGCCCCGCAAGCTCCAGGGACGGCTGGGAGACGCAGCGCGTCTTCCTGCTGTCCCCGGACCTGATCTGAAGGCGGGCGGCGGGGAGAAGAGCGCTTCTCCCCGCTGCCGGCCCCACAAGCGCCTGGGGGAAATAATTTTTTTCCCCTTTATTTCCCCCCCAAAAAACTTGATGCGTCCTATGGGCCGGTGCGTCCTATGGGGCGAAAAATATGGTACTCACGTATAAGCAGAGGCACCTAATATTAGAACAAAAAACTGGGAAAGCTTATTGACTCGAGTATAAGCTGGTTCACCACACCACAAACCTGGTGGTGGCGGAGGAAGCTGGCTGCTGGTTCCTCCTCCACCGCTGGTGACAGCGGCAAACGCGGTGGTGGAGGAAGGAGCAGCTTGAAAGGGCTCCTTTCTCGCTGCTCGTCCCTCCACCACTGCCCACCTCTGCCGCTTACAAGAGCAGGCATAGCAGCTGCGATTGGGAGAGGCACAGCACAGCACAGCACAGCGCCTCTCCCAACTGTGGCTCCTGTGCCTGCCCTTGCGAGAGACGGGTGGTGGCGGCGGGACCAGTGGTGAGAAAGGGCTCCTTTCGGCCACTTGTCCCGCTGCCGCCGCCTCACTCAAGTATAAGCCGAGGGAGGCATTTTTCAGCATTAAAAATGTGCTGAAAAAGTCGGCTTATACTCGAGTAAATACGGTAAATGAATTATACTGTACTGGGTGAACTTCCTGTGCCCTTCCTGTATCGATTTACTTACCTGCACTATCTCAAGCATTTCTGCGCGGCTGATGTAGCCATTGCCATCAAGGTCATACATGCTAAATGCCCATTTCAGCTTCTGCTCAAGTTTCCCCCGCGAAGTGACACTCAATGCGATTATAAATTCCCGAAAGTCAATCGTCCCATCGCCATTGGTATCAAAAGTGCGGAACACGTGCTCTGCAAATTTTGAGGCGTCGCCGTAGGGGAAGAAGTTAGCATATATCTTTTTGAACTCTTCAACAGTCAAATGGCCAGTCGGACAATCTTTTAGGAAGCCTTTGTACCACTCTTGCAGTTCATGGTCTGTGAATTCTGTGTTCTCTCGGAGGTCCTGGAGCACTTCGGGTCTCAGTTTACTGTTCTGTTTCCCCATTTTGTTCTTGGTTAATGCCTAAGAGCTGCAACAACAACAAAAATCCGGTCATTCTTAAAGCCCCTGGTGACATACAACACTGTGTGTCTAAACACAGATATTAAACATATGGGATGGCAGAAAAGGGTGATGCATATATACTGAATTTAAGAGAAAATGGATTATTTCATGCAAAGAGAGGGCACGTTTGAGTTAAAAAAAAATTCAGAAGAAACAGCCAACATCCTTTCCACTTTTGCAAGTTTAGTTCTGCTGACTGTATCTCCTTCATATTCCACAGTGGCACAATGTGGATCACTATGCAATAGTTTCTTTCTCTTCCATTTTGATGGCGGGTGGTGCTGTGGTCTAAGCCACAGAGCCTAGGGCTTGCCAATAAGAAGGTCGGCAGTTCAAATCCCCGCGAAGGGGTGAGTTCCCGTTGCTTGGTCCCAGCTCCTGCCAATCTAGCAGTTCAAAAGCACGTCAAAGTGCAAGTAGATAAATAGGTACGGCATTTCCGTGCACTGCTCTGGTTTGCCAGAAGCGGCTTAGTCATGCTGGCCACATGACCCGGAAGCTGTCTGCGGATGCTGGCTCCCTCATCCTTTAAAGTGAGATGAGCGCCTCAACCCCAGAGTCGTCCACGTCTGGACTTAATGGTCAGGGGTCCCTTTACCTTTACTTGTACTGAACATAAAGAGTTCTGAGTCCACCCCTCCATTGTGAGTTGCTTCCATAAAAATAAAAGAATCCTCCTTTGATTTAGTGACGGCTCTTTTTTTGCTACTTTGCTATAGTGAGGTTCTTTTTTACTACTTTCCACACTCCCACACTTTTCTGGAAAGTTTCCTAAACTCTCTGGAGCAGGGTTTTTTTTGGGGGGGGGCTATGAGTATTTCTCCAGCTGTTGTTGGACTACAACTCCCATTATACCTGACCACTGGTACTGCTAGCTAGGGATGATGAGAGTTTTAGTCCAACAACAGCTGGAGATCCAAGTTTGAGAAACACATGGCTAAATGAAGGAGGGGGAAATCAGCAAAAATCACCCTCCCACAACTTCCACTGATGGAAGGCTTCAATGAGTCAAAAGTCTTTTCACAAACATACAAACTTATTTTTTGTGTAACATGTTACAAAAACCATTATGACAAACTATTCCTCAAGCGTAGAATTTTGTTCTCCCAACACTTTGGGTACCCAATCATATTTACAGTCCTACTGCTACTACTTAATTTGCCACCTCCTAAGAAGACCTATTATTCTTTTTACTTTTAACACTCTTAGGACAATATTTCTAGACATACTTACTGCAGGTTCATCAGATTTGTCCTGAAATAATTTCCCATGTTTGTCATGAGTATATTCAAGCCCAATTTCATATCTACATGTACATCTTTATCACCTCAGATGTATGAACAAAGTGGCAATATACAGTATTTTACAGGAATTTCTAATACCCAAAGGTATCAACCGATACTGTCAATATGGTGCCCATTTTAGCATATAAGTTTCTTCCCCCCCTCATAAAAATATTGTATAATATAGACATTGAACGTTGGGCTTTCTTTTCTCTCAACCTTCTGTTCTAGCTAAATAAGCACACAGTTGGAAGGCCAAAGATTTTAGAAATGTTTTGAAAGTTGATTGAAGAATTCCAAAACAAATAAGCAGGATACAGGAAGAACAGAAGGAAATATGATAAATTCACTGGCTAACAGCCACCCTATGTTTAATGGGATTACTCTAGAGGAGCACTTCTCTCACACTATCACATTACACAGAAGTTCTCAAGGAAAATTCATTTGTGAGCATTCAGGTTGATTAACCTGATTTAACATGTATTTAACAAGCCAGGAAAATAAGCCCACCCTCTTCAATGCGACCACTAGCATTCTTTACAGTTTGAAAAGGAAACAGTAACTCTCTGTACTATCATCCATTGCAGGATGACAGTGTCAATTTGCGAAGACCACACATCAAAACCCCTCTAAAAAGGATCTGTGAGAAACCAAACTCTGCCTGCTTCCAGGTTTTGGGGGGTGTTCATGGCAGTGGGCCAATCTGAAGAGTCATAACAACAGACTGAGAGTGCAAAATAAACTTTTAGTAGCTTGCTACACTGAACAAGCATTTTTCCTAAGGGTTAACATGATTCATACATATCTACATATCTACAAAAGGAAAAGGCCGCTCTCATTAAACAGGATTACAAATAGATACAAACACCTCTTTCTCTCTTAGCTGTGAAAATTTGCTATGTTCCTCTCATTCCCAAATCCAGTCCATTCAGCAACATCAAGGGGATTTGTGATTGGCAAAACCATTATACAAGAATCATTTGTTTATAAACCTCAATAAATATAGATTGGAGTAGCACCGAGTGCAGTACTCTTGAGCTACATTTGGAGAGGGGGAAATAAAGGGAGCTTTAATGCACACACTGGAATCACTGGAAATAATGACGGAATGGACTGTATGGACTCTGGTCATGAGTTGTCAAAGCAGCTAAATACTTTAGGATCCTGAGAGCAACTGTTCTTCCCAATGTCACCAGAGCCACAGTATTTACAGTGTATGCAAGCAGAGATTTGAAAAAAGACATTACATAAAGTTTGCATACACATTAGCAAGCAGCCACGGTAATATGCAAACTGAATGTTAGGGAAACATTACCTGCATGAAGAAATAATTAACAATAATAAGTCATTGCAATCTGAATGCTACCCTTTATTTCAAAAGAGATGTGTACAAATGGGCTAGTTTGTCTCTGAAGTAGAATGTTTTAATCATAAGATAATGGCAGCCAGTGCAGTCAGGCTGGAAATAGGTTCAAAGCAACCTGGCCACCAAATTCTGAACCAGCTGAAGTGTCTGAACCATCTTCAGAGGCAGCTCTATGTATAACGCGTTGCAGTAATCTAACCTAGAGGTTACCAGAGCATAAACAACAGCAGTCCCTGTCCAGATAGGGGCACAGCTGGAACACTAGCCAAAGCTGATGGAAGGCACTTCGTGACACCGTGGCCACCTGAGCCTCAAGCAACAACAAAGGATACCTTCCTTCAGATATAAGAATTCATGTACACAAGTGAACACATGTACAATCATATTTGAAATATAAAGCCTCATGAGAAATAAGTCTTTAAACAAAAGCAAGCTGCCTGTAAATTCTTTTCCTGCAGTCAAAATTTCGATTTATACTCCATTCCATGGGGGGAGTGGGGAGTGTATGGGAAACACATTACATACTTTTAACCTGAATCTCTTTTTAAGGTTTATCATTCTTTCAAAGAACTTTTCAGGTTCTTTGAAATTCAAGTAATTCAGCTATCAAGAAGGAATACATTTTGTGCCTGGTGCAACATTATGCTTGTAAAGCATCCAACTATTACATATACAATGGTACCTCTAGATGCAAACGGGATCTGTTCCAGAGCCCTCTTCGCATCCTGAAGCAAACATAACACGCGACTGTGCGTCTGTGCATACGCAGGATGTCATTTTGAGCATCTGCACATGTGCAAGCAGCAAAACCCGTAACTTCCGGGTCGCCGTGGAGTGGAACCCAAAAATATTCATCCCGAAGCTACTTCAACCCCGAGGTATGACTGTACCTTCTCGACAGTGGCACCTGCCCTGTGGAATGCCCTCCCACCAGATGTCAAAGAGATGAACAACTACCAGACCTTTAGAAGACATCTGAAGGCATCCCCCTTTAATGTTTGATGTATTACTGTATTTTAATACTTTGTTGGAAGCCACCCAGAGTGGCTGGGGAAACCCAGCCAGATGGGCGGGGTATAAATAAATAAATATAATAATAATAATAATAATAATAATAATTAGAAACCCAAGCAAAGCCTTAAAAGCAGGAAAAGCAAGTTGGGAAGTGAGATCTCTCTTTTTTTAACAGTCCATGTCTTCTCCTGATGGAACAGAATCACTTCCCCCAACACTTATCTCCAGTGTTGTGCTGTTTGTTACAATCACAGCCAAATCATAAAAAATAATCTAGATAACCACTCCATGGATATTGATATTGTTAGAACTGGGTTATCAATGAAGCACTAGCAACCCAAGTGCAAAAGAATGCAAACTCACTCTCGCATACTACCACACCATTACCGGTATTTACATACAGTTTAATACAATTTAAAAGACTATTTCAGCACCTTTTCTAAAAACCATCCTACACAGCTTTTCATCATAAACACCACAGAAAACACAAGCTTAAATTACACTATTAAAAATACCACAATTCTGTACACAACAGAACACAATATGCAGCTTCAGCTTTAAAAAACCTCTTCCACAGAGCTTCCAGGAACTGATGATTTCTCCACAATTTCCCACAAAATGTACTCTCCATTTAAACTTCAAAGCCCAAGCAGTCTACTGAAATATTTATTTGTAAACATTTATATGCCACTTTTTGTTGGGTTCAGAATCCAAGGACATTAGTAAAGAAACAGCAATTTGAATGTGCTAAAAACATGCAGCACCAGAGGGCGCCAGAGAGCAGAAAATGTTAAAACACAATTTTCCATAAAGAATTTTTTCTTTTGTTATAACAATCTAATTTCTGACTTATTTATAGCAGGTTTATCCATTGTCTAGATCAGGCAACCTAAGGTCCACGGGCCGGATGCGGCCCAATCGCCTTCTCAATCCGGTCCGGGAATCAGTGTGTTTTTACATAAGTAGAATTTGTGGGGCATAGGAATTCGTTCATTTTTTCTTTTCTTTCAAAATATAGTCCAGCCCACCACATGGTCTGAAGGGCGATAGACCGGCCCACGGCTGAAAAAGGTTGTTGACTCCTGGTCTAGATCCACCCTATGACAGTGTACAACAAAAACTAATAATACATAATTTATCCACAACAAATATGAGAAAAGGCAGCAATTAAAACTGTTATGTAAGCTAAACCTTAGACCAGAGGTGGCTAATCTGTGGCTCTTTGGGTTTTAATGGACTACAACTCGCCTTATCCCTGACTACTGGCCATGCTAGCTAGGGATGATGGGAATCAGAATCCAT